TCCTGCTGCCTGGGACCCATCTGTTTGTTCCTTAGAGCTGTTACTTGCTTAAGTATAGATTTTTGCATATACTTGAGTGCAGTGCCCGGTGGTGAGGGTGACATGGGTAAGAGAGGCATCATTCAAAACGTAATGCTGTCTGCCTGTTCACATCAAAATGGTGATGGTATTCCCTTGGAATTATTTCCGTGTATCTGGAGGGTTGCTGCCTTACCCTTCAGCGTCCTGAAGTTTGTGAGGCATTGCGAAGGGATAAAGGATTTCCCATCGTATTCCGTTCACCACGTGAGCTGTTACTAGTGACAGATGACTTCTGGGCACCGAGTCGAGAAGGACACAGATGGCCGGAACGATGAATCTGTGAGAGCATTGAGGATTATGTGCTTTTGTCCAATCAGCATTTTGTTCATGTCACCTGTGAGAAGGAATAATTATTAAATTATAGGCTTAATCAGAAAAAAATGACAAGGCTGTCAGGATTGCACGGGAAAGTGTTAGAAGGCTGCAGAAAGAGCAGAGGATTTCCAGGGGGATCGAGGACAATGGGTGAAATGGTAAATGCAGTTTTAAGCAGGTGCTGTTAAACATTTACAGAAATCTACAGTGTTTAGATGATGTAGGCTGATATTTAGATAACATGCTTCCATTTCGGGTCCAGCTTCAATATAGGGTATACTCCTGGACTTGGGTGGGTTTGTCAGCTGGGAAGGTAATGTATCACTGTAGTCTTTTGCCCTGTTGGTGGAACAGACTTCTTTCTGTGAAGTCTGAACAGGCATTGTCTGCTTTTTTGTTGCTGTTGCTAGGCTAAACTAAAAATGCAGATTAGATTAGAGCATTTGTGTTTACTTTTTTGCTTGTTTGCAAGTACTTTGTGTAATCGATCGTGAGTTCCACTGCTGATATAAGGATTTGCTGTATGGATGAAGAGATTTAATAAAAACTTATTATGGTCCCACTCAAACATTTCATGCTGGATAGACATGGTAAACTTTCTCCTGTTAACAGAATGTCCTAGAAATGTGGGCTGGTCTGAGGAATGAAGGTTATAAAATAGTTGATCACTCCTTGCTGTGGTTTGTGTTTGCAGTGTTGCTGGCACGCTCCTGTAAGTGTGTTATGTAACTAGGGACTTCCAGTCTGTTTTTCACTCCTCTTCTCGCCGTAACTTTTGCATCCCGTGAAGAGCATTTCCCTGAAAAATATTCCCTCAAAGGCTTGCTAGTTGCTTACTCTCGTTCCGTGTTTCACACCGGCTTTTAATTTTTGGAGCATCGGTGGTGGCTCTTTAAGGTTTGAAGCGCTAAGGTAAAGCCAAAAATAATGCGGTTGTCACACTAGTGAACAGCAACATGAAAGCTTCAATAAATGGAAATCCCTTATTGAGGGCTCCAGAAACTGATTGCAAATACTTCTGCCGCCAGATGTTGATATTTTCTGCATGTGTGACAGCTGTCAGGTGTGCTGGGACCAAATAGTTTGTTCCAGGCAAGACAGTTTGAACACCTTCCTGTTTTGATTCTCATCAAACTGCCTTTTTACTGCTGAGTTAATGTAGGCTATTCCTGGAGAAACCTTCTGCTTTGAGTTCCTCATCCGCAAAGTAGGGACAGTGATAGTTTAGCAATGGGATTCCAATTTAAGCTTGCTGTTATTTATTTGTTGTGTTTTAAACAGTCAGAAAGTGAGAAAAATGAGTGTGTTCATATTTTGTGTAAACTAGTCATTCCAAATGTAGAGGTGGTTGCTGACTTGCATGTCTTCCTATGAAAAAAAAAGCTTCTTTAGAGAAGACACTTCTTTATCATTAATATGTATAAGATTGTTTCCTTCAGGCTAAATCTACTCTCACTATATAAAAGGTCTAATTTCAATTTGCTGTTTCTATCTTCAGTACTTTACAAGGCTTTTCTGACTTACCATGCTATACCAATGATTTCTCCATACTCATTTTGATAAGCTGTAATTTCAAGCAGCGCTGACGACAAAATTAATTTTACAGTTCACCAGATCTTGGGGAGGAAAAGAGAAACTTAAATTTAGTTTTATTAACACTGCAACACTGATACACCAATAAAAAAATAAAATACGGTGTTTATTAGGGGGTATTTTTCTCCAAAGCCAGGTCAGAAATTCAACATATGTGGCTTTCAAACTCTAAACAAAACATGGGGAATTTTTTTGTGTAAAGAAACCTAGCTAAATATAAATTGATATTTTCGTACCATTTAATAGTGCTATAGACAGCCATGTTCACAGCAGCAGTTCTTTGTGTCTTTTCCAATCAGTAGCAGGTAGAGATTGCCCAGAGATTGACTGGCTTTGCTCTAGGAAGGTGTTAAAAAGGCAAATGTCAGCCTTCCACTACTATTTGGAAAAGCTGTAAATAGGTACTTGTTCTGAATATGTTCTTGCGTGAAGAAATGTGTGACAACGATAGCTGTCATCTTGAAACGGTGGGGGGAATCGATGAGGAAGTGCAGCCAGCAGGAGCAGGGCAACTGATCGACCTGTACTCGGCGCTGGTGGGGCCGCACCTCGAATCCTGTGTTCAGTTTTGGGCCCCTCACTACAAGAAGGACATTGAGGTGCTGGAGCGTGTCCAGAGAAGGGCAACGAAGCTGGTGAGGGGTCTGGAGCACAAGTCTTATGGGGAGCGGCTGAGGGAACTGGGGGTGTTCAGTCTGGAGAAGAGGAGGCTGAGGGGAGACCTTATCGCTCTCTACAGCTACCTGAAAGGAGGTTGTGGTGAGGTGGGTGTTGGTCTCTTCTCCCAAGTAACCAGCGATAGGACAAGAGGAAATGGCCTCAAGTTGCGCCAGGGGAGGTTTAGATTGGATATTGGGAAAAATTTCTTCACTGAGAGGGTGGTCAGGCATTGGAACAGGCTGCCCAGGGAGGTGGTGGAGTCACTATCTCCGGAAGTGTTCAAAAAACGTGTGAGTGTGGCACTTCGGGACATGGTTTAGGGGACACGGTGGTGTTGGGTTAACGGTTGGACTTGATGATCTTGAAGGTCCTTTCCAACCTTAGTGATTCTGTGATTCTCTGGTGGGTCACTTCCATACTCCTCAGATGCAGATAGAGTGGTTATTCTTTTTCCAGTACCCAGAAATAATTTTTTAGGCTGTAAGGCAAGTACCAGCCTGAGCTGATGAGAAACAGGAATAGAACTCCTAAGTAAGCCCTCACCTGAATTTTCCTTTGGATGTCTGTCTACAGTTACTAAATACATTTTAGGTCTGTCTCTGTGTAGAAGCCAGAGTAGGATGTTCCAAATGATTTTCTTCAAACATCAAGTTTCCAGTCATTTCCTGGCAGGTGGGAGTCAACTGCAAAGATACTTTGTCATGAATGGGAAATACTGTTACCAGAGTAGTGTGGGGAAAATGAAGTTCCAATGTTTAGTCTCTTCTGTGGACAAATGGGACTCCAGAAAACAGAGTAGCAAAAAAAGTGTCTTGCCCAAGAGCTGGAAAAAGTTTTTATTTGTTCAAGATGTTAATCACTTAAAGAGAAAAGAGAAAAACAAACAAAAAAAACCCCAGTCATCTTTATGCCTGTCTAAAATAAAATTTCACTAATCTGTTTCTCTTGTTACAGTTTATCCTGACATTTGCACCATTAGTCTAGTAGCTGTTGGGGATATGAATAAACATGTGGACAAGCTACTTTTCTGGGAAGATGTATATGGCTTTGACATGTCTTGCATGAAGGCGGCTGTAATTCCAGAAGCTGTTGTGGAGGTGCTGGATCCAAACACACTGATATCTACAGCCAGTGTCATTAAGGTAGCATACTACTTCTTAAATTTTTAGTAGTCAAATTAGAATTTTCCTCTTTCTTTATGGAGGAAGGGAAAAAAATACACACACATGCACACACAAACTTCGGCATCTTCAAAATGATACAAATGCAATAAGGTTCTTGGCGTTACAACTGTAAGACTTGTATTAATTGCTTTTTCTTTAACCAGGTTTGAGCTTTTAATAAAGAAATCTTCCCATATTTAGGTTGTTTTGTTCTACATTTTGTTTTGTCCAAACCCAAATTTACTTGCATTTTAGTAAGTTACAAGTTGCATTACTGAAATCTAAATTATACCAAAAAACTCCTGGAATATAGAGTCTTGTCTTCTACTTGGCTTCCCGCTTCACCTCAGTCTGTACCAAGTTGCCAGGGGGACTTCTTACCTATTTCTGTGTCAAGCTAGCTGGCTTTAAAGATCTGTCACTGGAGGATCACTCATGATCACCCATAGCTTTATCCAACAGAATAACCATGTCTGAAAAGGCAACAGTAGTTTCTGCAGTACTGACTGAATTAATTTTAGGCTTACTTTTCTGTGTTGTCTTTTTTAATGGCAGCTTTGTCATGGGGCATAGCATTAAAGTTGGTAGTGATTCATATGAGAGAATGCCTACATGATGAGATATAATTCCAGAACACTGACTAGTTAGAAATTTGTGATTACTAATCATTTGAACAGTTCAGATCAAATTGAGAGAAAGACTATTATAAACCAAGACTTTTTTGTCACAATGGTATTCTAATTATTGTTTGTATAGTTACTTTTCTATTGTAAAACACTTAAGGCAGTAATATCGCTGCCCTTCAGTGGGAATTGCCTGTTTACTAAAGAGGTAATTTCTATTTAAATGCTTTCCTATCTTCCTTTTATATAGAAGAATATGGGTTTACATAATTCATCCTTGAACTTGATACCATTATTGAGGGTAGTTTCAGTCTCTTCCAGCACAGAGACTACTTGCTGTTGTCAGTTGTCATCCTGCCCACAAAAGCAGTAACAGGTGAAGTACAGTGCTGTTGTAAGTATATCCTCACGCAAGTTATTGTTTAAGCCTTTCTTGTCTAAAATTTCATTACAGAGAAGATATAAAAGTAGTAAGTTTTCTAAATTGGGTATTAAAAAATAAAAAGTGCTGAGACTGATATTTATTTAATTTGAGTAGTTGTTGTGCATCTTGTGCATCTCCACTTTCTTTTTTTCTTTTCCTTCAGGATTTTTTTATTTGTAAGTTACGAAGTCATCATAGATGTTTCTTACAGTTTATTCTCAGCTTGTTGACTAGGTTCTCTCTAGGGTCAGTGAAATAAAATTCCTAAGGACACCTGTAATAAGTTGTGTGTGTGACTTGAGGCTTTCAGGTGTCTGTTTTCCTTGAGTGTAAGGAGAGGGTAGAGTGATCAACTCGACTGTTGAAATCTGCTTTGTAGACCTGTCGTTGTAGGGAAGATAAATTCCACCCTTAGTGAATGAAAGTGCACAAACCAGAGGTACTGAGATCACAAATCTGAGGCCATCATTGTTAGCCATCTGGCAGGTTTGATTCTGCAGTGAGGCAGACATAAGCACTTTTATCACCTGCCATTTTTTTTATAACATTTTGCACGTTCTGATTCAAGTGGAAGTGTAGTTGAATACTTCTTGCAAATAGGTCAAGTTTAGTATACAAAAAATGAAGAACATAGCTGCATGAATAAGTTGATCTCTGTCAGTTTGTTAGGCAAACAAATTAAAGCATCATCTTAACCTGGAAAGTGTTGATCACAAAAACTATAGTTAAATGTGCCCAATGCAGTCTATGAGCTGCTGTCATTTTAGAAGCAAAACGTTTTACTGGTAATAGTACAAGTCCCTTTCTAATACATACTGCCGTGAGCAGTCACTGTCCAGCTCAGGTGCATGTGCTTATCAGATCTTGTCATCATAAAGCATTTTGCATAACTGTTATGCTTAATGATTTTATACTCATTATATAGAATATATTATAGCAATCATGGTTTTTAAAATAACCTAAAGTCAATGCATAAGCTCATTTGCTGGAGGTACACTACAAAGTAGTAAAATTAATGAGTTGAGCAACAGTGGCATTATAGGTAGGTTGTTTTAATCGATAGCCATGCCACAGAACAAATGGATTATATTTTTGAGGAAAAGTTTAAAAATGTTCCCATTCATCATATTATTATTACAGAAAATATCTTAGTGTGTGTGCTCAAATTAGCTGCTGTTTGATTTGTATATTTTTATGACGTAACTTTTAAGGAAGCAAAACCATTCCCTAAAGAAAGATGAGGCAGCACCAAGAAATATTGATTAATAATGTATATGACATTTAACTTCAGCAGTATATGATGTTCTTCGATGAAACATTTTAAATGAGTGTGTAAACTGAAGGACTTAATAGAGTGAAAAAATGTGGCGGAATTCTTACGAACAACTGAAACGGAAGCTTAATGCTCTTTAAAAAGTCTGATTTTATATATATATAAACAAAAAAATAGAATAATGAAATGCAAGTTGCAATTTGATTTGATGTCATCGTTGTGATCCTGGATGCCCTTGTTTTGTGTTAATTTCAAAACAGGGAACCAGTTCTCTGCCTCCTGTGCCTTCTCTCCTGTGTTGTCACTCATATTTCACATACACCACATGGCTGAATGTCCTTCATTCAGAAGGACCTCCACAGGCTGGAGAAA